CTTAGGCACTATGCTACCAGAGCTCCCTATGCTACTAGAGCTCCCAGGTATACACACTAAGCTGTGTGTGTATATTCTCAGCAACCAAAATGACACAATAAAGAAGATTTAAAGAAACAACAAAAAAATCACCATGTTTGTAACAACAAACAAATAGGCAACTGCCTGTTACCCACTTCCTATCTGGTCCCTTTCTCACCAGCTAGTGATCAGACGTGCGCACGATCCAACATCAACTGTGCAGAAAGGAGCCGGCAGAGGCAGCGATGAGAGGGCCCTGGATCACATAGAGCCACCCACTCCATCACCCGGTCTGCTCAGCTCTGCACTGTCAGGGACAGAGGACCCACCTATTTTGTTTAGCCCACTGGGTTGTGACCCAACCAGAGTAGTTCACTGAGTCAACTCAAAGACATAACTGATTGTGAGATGTACCATATTTGGTTGTCAATTTGCTGTGGAGTCAGTGTTGACTCTTGGTGACCCCATGTGTACAGAAGAGAACCTCTCCATAGGGTTTTCAAGGCTGCGATCTTTGCAAGCAGACCTCCAGGAGTGCCCTCCCAGGCACCTGTAGGTAGGTTCGAACAGCCAACCTTTCAGCTAATGGCCAAGCACTTAACTGTTGCACCACCCAGGTGTGAACATCCTCCATGTACCGTTATTTTATGTACCACAAAGAAAGAAAAGAGTGCTCCCGTTGTGAAAAGCCATCAACCTTAAGACACATCTTGACTTCAAGGACAAAAATGTGTGTGTGTGTAGCGGGGAGGTGCCTCTTAGAATCATGAAATACACACTCACTCTGTCTCAGGTGCTTTTCCCCAATTGCCTGATTTGACCCCAGAAAACCCGAACCAAACCCAATGCCGTCAAATTGAGTCTGACTCGTGGAGACCCCATGTGTGTCAGAGTGAAACTGCTCCCATGGGGTCTTCTGGGTCATATTCTTTACGGAAACAGATCGCCAGGCCTTTTGTTCCCAGTGATACTAGGCGGGTTTGAACCACCAACCTTTCAGTTACTTGTTGTTGTTATGTGCCGTCCAGTTGGACCCGACTCATAGCGACTCCTCCTTGGGTTTCCGAGGCAGTATCACTACGGCAGTGGATTGCGCAATCTTCCTTCCGAGGAGTGGCTGGTGGGTTTGAACCGCCAGCCTTCTGGTTAGCAGTCAAGTGCCTTAGCCACTATGCTACCAGAGCTCCCAGTTACTAGGTGATTGTAAACAGCTTGTACCACCAGGGCCTTCCTTTTAACCACAAAGGGAGGCCCAATTACACCCATTTTACAGAAAAGGAAATAATGCATGGACTGAATTGTATCCCTGCAATGTGTGGGTTGGGATCCCTACACCTGTGGATAGAATCCTCTTTCAAAACAGGGTTTTTTCTTTGTTAAGTTGCTTGGATCCTTCCTGAATAGGGTGGGCTCACAGTCTAAGTGGTTCTGAGTGATTTCTGAGCAGATTATATACAGAGCCTTGGTGGCATAGTGCCTAAGGCACTTGACTGCTAACCAGAAGGCTGGTAGTTCAAACCCACCAGCCACTCCTTGGAAGGAAGGTTGGGCAATCTACTTCTGTAGAGATACTGCCTTGGAAACTCAAGAAGGGGTCACTAGGAGTTGGAATTCACTTCATGGAAATGAGTTTTTTGTTTGTTTGTTTGTTTGTTTTAAATACACAGAGATGCTTATTTGAGAACTGGCTTCAAGCCAAGAAACCAACTGAGGTCCAGGGCAACTGACAAAGAAGAAATTGATAAGGGGAAACCCTAATTTGATCTTTTAGCCTCCAAAACTTTGAAAACAGATTTTTGTTGTTGTTCTTTGAAGTCACCCATGTATGATATTTCGTTTACAACAAGCCTAGATGACTAAGGCACTCAGAGGCCACGATCCATTTGAGGTCACCCAGCCATCCCTCGCTGCCGGCGGCAGGCTTCCCACACCCCTCCCGCCGAGCATACTCACCTATGCAGACTCTCCCCGCGGTGGGTACGGTTCTGGGCGCGACAGTCGTGGCCGAGCTCGGGCAAGAAACCGTAGTCACGCAGCAGGGCCTGGGCACCTCTGGCCACGACGGCCACACCGGCCACCACGCGCCTGGCCAGGTCGTCCCTCCAGCCGGCTGAGCGCACGGCAAACAGGCCGGTGGGTAGCGGGGCACCTCCGGGCAGGAGCAGGGGCTCCCCGGGCGCCCCCGAGCCGCCGCCCCCAGCCAGCTGGGGCCCGACCATGAACCACACGTAGCCGGACCCGGTGAGGCCGGCCTCCTCGGCGGCCCGGAACACCAGCTCGGCTTCCTCCCGCGCGCAGAAGAGCAGGCGGATCTGTGCGCTCACGCTGCGTAACTGGGCCCCCAGCACGGCCTCTCCAGCCCCGGGGTCCAGCATCAGCGCCCCGCGGTGCTCCCAGCCCACAAGGCTGCCGTCCGTCAGCACCTCGATGTAGGACAGGAAGGCCCGGTGGCCGGGGGCCCGCGTGGTCACCGCCACAAAAGATGTCCAGTCATACTCCTCTAGGACCTCGAAGATGACTTGCAGTTGCTGCTCGGTGGAGGAGCCCAGCTGCAGGAAAGTGGACCCTTTCTCCTGAGGATGGAAGGGGTGTCAGGGCTTGAGGGGACAGGCCACAGCTCCCAGAGGCTAAGAGGGGCTGTCACCTCCCAGCGGCCCCCAAGGGGACCTCTCCTCCCCCCCACCACTAAGGGCGCTAACTGTAGCACCTATCAGCCAAGGAGGGACTCTCATAGGTTCACAAGGACATATCTCCCAGTGGGGAACTAGGGGGGCCACGGCTCTCAACAGCCAACAACGGGACCTCATCTTCCAGTCTCTGATAAGGGGTCCGCAGACCCTCTCAGCCAGTGACTGTAGCAACAACAGGCCCACAGCTCCTAGTGGCCAGTGCCGCATGACAGGTCTCACTATCACAGACTGACTAGCTGTTCACCCCCAAACACCCCAATTAAATAAAAAAAGAAAAAGCTTGCCATCAAGTCAATTCCAACTCATGGCAACGCCACATGTGTCAGAGTCAAACCGTGGTCCATGGGATTTTTAATGGATGACTTTTCTGAAGTCATTGCCAGGTCTTTCTTCTAAAGTGGCTCTGAGTGGACTCAGATCTCCAACCAGTTGGTCAGCAGTTACGCTTGTTAACTGTTTGCATGGTTCAAGGACTTCTGGGGCCCAGGGCTAGACCTGCTTAGCTTGTCTGTAAGACCTCCGCCCCACCCTATGAGCCTTGCTCTTTTCTCTGTCTGTGGGTAAGTGCAGAGCCCCCAGAAAACAATCTGAGGTCCTAAGGGGCTGCGGGAACCACAAAAGGGAAGGACACTGAGTCCCTAAGTCACCACTTAGATGACAGCCACCTCCGGTCAGGAGCACTTGTTTGGATTTAATGTGAGAGCGACACAACCTATTGTGCTGAGCCACTGAGATTTGGAGGCTTATCTGTTACAGCAGCTAAAATGATCATAATACAGCCTGCATCCAGTGAGGGAACTACAGCTCCCAGCATTCCAC